GGCGGCGCTGAGCCGGCGGCTGGGTGCGCCCCGGGGAGCGGGCGGTGACGGTGAGAGGCCGGAGGAGGGAGGGGTCGGGGCTGGGCCCTGCCCGGTGCTCCCGCCGGCCTGCTCCGCCCTCTGCCGCCGGCCCACAGCGCCGCGGGTGCCGGCCGGGGGGCGCCGAGACCCGTCCCCGGGGCGGCTGCTGAGGGCTCCGGTTCTCCCGCCGCCGAAGGGACGCGCCCCAGGAGCGGCGCGGCTGGTGCCGGCCCGCGGCTCCGTCTGGGGGAGGCTTCCCTGTGGAACGGGGCGGCCGAGGCCTAAACCCGGTTCCTGGGCGCCGTCAAGGGGTGATCTTGGTGTGTGGGTGATTTGCCAGTGCAGTATGTGGAGATGGTTCTGAAACACCAGACCCTAACCATGAACGCCCTGAATTGAGTCCTGAAAGGTGTGGTTTAACAGGACAACCGGCCTGTTTTAACGCTGTATTGTCCTGCTGCTCTGGTAGATGCAGCAAGGGCAGATAAAAGCATATGAAATGGAGGGCAAGCAAGGGTCTTGCTGAGGGCTTGTCAATGCTGAGGAAGCGCTTTGTTCTCCCTTCAGATACCTTCTTAGCAAAGGGCTCTGCTGCTCTGGACAAACTGAGGGACCTCTGTAACGAAGGGAAAGAGCCTCCTTCCACGCTTTTGCAGCTCTATACACAGGTAGTATGTTTAAAGCATTAAGATCTCCCTCTCAAGAAAATCTGCCGTGTAGGGAATGAGAGAGGGTTGGGTGCAGGGAAGAGGGTGTAGCAGGAAGGGATCTCTTCCCATGCTTGCTGTGCGTTGTCAGCATCCATGAAGTGCAGGGCTGCTTTATTCTGGATTAGAAGATAATTTACAGTTGATAATAGCTGTGCTGGTATTGTAAGGAGAGAAAGGGGTTTGAGTTTACATTCAGTGTCCACAATCTTAAAATACTCTTCACTTGCAGCTTTTGCAAACTAAATATGAAAAATTACGTTAAAATGGTAATGTTTTGTAACCAGTAACAAGTTTGTATGTTACTACATACCACCATTTGATTATTTTGCTGGTAGCATTTTTACACTGTGTATCTTCTTGTTTTCATAGGCTGTTTTAGACATTACATATTTTGAGGAAAACCAGCTTGTGGATGAAGATTTTCCAGAAGAATCTTCCTTGCAAAAAGTTAAAGAACTTATCTGTATTCTTTCAGAACCAGAAGGCCTAGTGAGGGAGTGCAACATAAATGAAGAAGTGAGTACTAATGTTATTCAGCCAGAGAATTATTTCATTTATTAAAAATAAAAAATCTGAAGCAGGATAGTAGTATTTGTATTTTTTATGGGCAGAAGTTAAAAACTTTTGAAAAAAATTCAAGTCTTACTTGTATTTAAATTCCTGAAAATATTTTTTCAAATAACGTGTTGCATTCTCAGATTTTTTCTTGCTAACATTTAATGATTCCATGTACTTTTGGCAGTTTAAATCCGAAGTCATAGGCTTGTGTCTGTGACTGTTCCTGTTAAGTACAGCCTGGAAAGTTAGAGACTTACTATAATGTATGAGTGTGTATATGGGTATTTCAGATGGTTTGCTTTTGGGTTGGCTCAGTTTGTTGGATTTTATTTCAGCCCATCAACATCCTCGGTGCAGAGTTGTTAGAATGCCTTTACTGGAGAAAAGGAGCCCTGCTTTACATGTATTGTCATACAGCAAAAGAAAGGAGTGAATGGCTACGAGAAAACATTGCCATATTTAAAAAGGTAAAGAAGATTAAAAAGTTACAGGGTCTTGAAGTTTGACTCTTTTAAAATACAGCTTTTGTTTTTCCTGTTAAATAGGGGTTTGGGAAATTCATAGCGAGAAGTATTTCTGGCTGTCATTAAATTAATCAGAACTTACCTGAAAGGTTTTTTTCCCCCCCCTCATTTTTTAACTGTACGCAGTGTCTTAATGATGGAGTTCATTATTTGATGAAGATGCTTAGCTTGAGATGCCCTCTTCAACTAAATGAAGATGTCTCATTTCAAGATAAAGACACAGCTAGATTACTCCGTGAAGGTAAAAAACAACTCCAGGACACCCACAGCGCACTCCTCTTAATTAATTGTCCCACTTTATGAAATGTGTTATTATGTATTTTTGTTGTTTGACTTCATTTGTACTCAAAAACTGGCACTTTTTAGAACAGCAACAACAAAGAGATGAGGCAGATAAGCAGGCAACAGTGCTCTCTGCTCCCCCTCACCTCTTTTTGACTCATGGGCTTTAGGAGGTGGCACTGCTCATTTTCTCCATGTTTTTGAGCTCACTGGGGGAAAGTGGACGGAGGCAATGGGTTTTTATGCACAGCCTGTGTTCTGCAGCCATCCAGTTGTCCATTGACAAGTGCTGAAGGCACAAATGTGACTGCAGAGGGTGCTAGAAGACCACGTTTGTCGTCCTGGTTAGTTCTAGGAGAACACGGGTATGAACACAGAGTCACTGACTTCACACAGGTGGAAAGTACATGCAGAATTGGTTAGATTTGGGAGACTTTCATTCTGTCTCCACTTGACGTAGCTTTATGTGAGTTGCATGACTGTAGTGCATTTCACATGAGAATCCGAGGTTGCATCAGTGTGATGCTGGTTGGGTGGGGCAGCAGGAGGGGATTTTTCAGGAAAAACAGCTGATGCTGAGGACATGGGGTCCACGTTGTACACACTGAAAACTAACTCTACGGTAGGTATGGGGCGGATGGAGCACCTTCTTGCTTAGTTTCACCTGAAAGTGGATTTGCTTCAGTTCAGCTCCACAGTGCAAAGCCAAATTCGGTAACTGATTTGGAGATTTATCTAGCAGGAATATTTTTTTTTTTTTCCCACAGTGACACTGGGCATGTATGTGCCTTTCTGTTCAAATGCTAAAATTTATGCTGGCTAACCAAAGTTAAGATGATACTCAAACAGCGTGTCTTTTTAGGCTTAAACTGTGGCCAGCACACAAGTGTTCTAAAATAAATGTAAATAATCATGCCTTTGCTTAAAGAAATACTGAAGTTCTCAAAGATAAATAGGCAAACACAACTATGAGAATAATATTTATATGGAAATCTTAAAAGGTTGTAGCATTATGGAGGGGAAAAATGCATAGAGTAGTGAGCAAGGCCTTGATCCAGGTTCTCCTCTGGGCAGTCATCTCATGGTTAAAATTTTTTGGGGGGCTACCTCTTTAATAGGCTTAGACTGCCTTTTGGGATTATTTTTCCCAGTGTTATTGAAAAAAAAAACAAAATATAAAAGATTGACGTTAACAAGCTGCATACTTGCTCGTAACAGAACAATAAAGTACTTGGTGTAAATTATTTTTGCAGGTGTATTTAGTGACACTCACTTACTGGCGATGATGTACAGTGGAGAAATGTGCTACTGGGGACTACGCCACTGTGGAGGAGGGAAGCAGGAAAGCCTGGGGACAATGGACTGTGACCTGGGCTGCAGATCCCAGAGCGTGGCGCTGGATTTCCGAGAAGCCGGCAAAAACTTGTTAACAAAGTACGTGGCCGTGTGCGAGGGACCTTTAAAGGGCCACGGGTGGAGCACAACCACTGCAAAAGAAATGCTGTGTTACTTTGTCTGAACCTTGCTGT